CTGGAATCCAGATATTTCAAAGAAGCATTCTCACACAGTTCTGTAAATGAGGATGTTATTTCAGGACTGAGTAGAATTACAGCCACAGTGTATACTTATAAGCACAGTATGCCCCATTTGTTAAGTGACAACTGTGTGCAATGCATTTTCCCTGATCTAAGGGCTATTTTGGATTGGTGAGCAATGCCAGAGACTGTCTAGTCTACTCTTTCCACGTTCTGAGGGAACAAATATCCATCATAGAGCAATGGGCCTGACTTTTTTATTCAGAGAAATATATTTTTGCTTGGAAAACAAATGTTCGTCCAGCATCAGGGAGTTTCCCCTCGTCTTTCATTTCAAGGTCACCTCTGCAGACTTTCATCTGTTTCCATTTGTGGTGTAGCCTTTTTTTTCCATGACCATCTCTACTTTTAATTGAGCTATTCTGATCCACCCGGATCTCTGATTGCTTCTTTTAAACCTGGCATCTAGCACGCCCTCAGTGCACTTGCTCAGCTAGCAAAATGCTCTGGCAATGTTTTGAAAATGCCTGAAGACGTACAGCATGTCCTCATAATACCTGCTTGTAGTGCTTATAATGTAAATGCATTCATACTTCCATGAAATCCTTTGCTATCCGATATGATGCAGATCAACTTAATTTACTATATTAGTACTAAATTAGACAAACCACTTCTCAAAAACATGCACTCATTGAGTTTTAAGCTAAATCTATTGAGGCTGAGTGACAACTGACCCTTCACAATAGTTGAGCACTTTATTTAGGCTATGTGAACAACACATGGTGAATTCATGACATGCCCCGCTTCAGGTCTGCCAAGAGGCACCAGCTGCACATGTTGTTCCCCCTACTTGCATTCTCAGACCATTTGATCGGCAATAAAAAGAAGGTGAATGGGCCCGGCTTTCATCCATTTTCATCTAGTTACAAATGTGTGTTCACGGAAAACAAATTAACACTGTGCGTGTTGTTTAACGGTCTTCATAGCATTTATTTTTGTCTACAACAGTGTTTAAAATGAGAAGTTTCATAAGACAAAATATTCTGAGTTGCTCTGAGCTGAGCGAAACCCTTCAGGCCTTTGTAGGGGAATACAAATCTATGCTTTGGGCAAGTTAAAACATTATTCCAATTCCTCAAAACAGTTAGTTTATAAAGTACCTTTGGAAGCAGGAGACAAAGACAGGAATGTGGCCAGACTTGGTGCGTGTTGGTGAAGTGAGTGTCGGAACAGCGCTCTCATATTTGACAGATGACCTCAGAAAGGCTGTACTGTCCAGGAGATGGTATTTGAAGATGGGCAAAATGCCATATAAGCCACTCTCTTTAAACATACAGTAGCTTCTTCCCTCCAATCTGCCATTACAAAACCCAGAGGATGAGGCCTAACTAATCTTTGGATTGACACTGAAATTATATGATTCACAGTTAACTTGTTTACAGTTGATTGAACAATTCAAGTTGATTTAATACATGGTACAACATTTAGTATTCATCTTTAAACACTTATGTGATGTATTTAGGCAAAAATAGGTACTTGAACAGAAACATTAAATTTTAACAAGGTTCATTTGAAAATTTCAAGTCATTAATGAACAAAACACCTCTAGTGGTGTTCATTATACATTATACAAATATAATGGGGTGCGTTTCATATTAATGAACACAAATGATTCAGAATTTAAAAGTCATATTTCAAAATCAGTGCACTTGAATCATCAGGATTTGCAATCAAGAAAACACACACACACAGGAAGAACAGAAGAACCTTTGAATGAAGAATGGTGCTATTTTGTGAATAGGTTAAGGTGTAATAAGGGTTTGATTATGTACTTTATTTGTGAGAAGTAGCCAGTGATAATGTTGTCCAGCACTGGAAAGTCCACCGACTGTGATGTGAGACCATCACTTGCCACTCAGAAAGAGAGATAACCCACTGACTTATAAGTAACAGTATGAACAGTGAACCAGAGTATGATAAGCTTTTGTAGGGGAATGTGAGTGCTACTAACCAGTTTACTATCCTAAACTAAATTGATATTCACAAGTGAAGCAATCTTAATAAATAAACAATGGCTAGAAACGTATGTGCTTTACGTATATCCACTTTTTTGTTTGTGAATATGAAGGACTTCTGATTCATTAACCTGTAAACACTAAACCAGAAGAATAACGAAGTGCAGAAAAAACTGTGTGTTTATAATTCCGACAATATTTCAGGCAGCATAACAAGCTGTTTTGCGCAGCTAAAAATAACTGAAAATGGGTGACACAGAAACCCTTACACATTTAAATAAGGTAAAAATAAGGTGAATATTTATTTATCTTCTCTCACTGAAACTCATCAACAGAAAGTTTGTGCTGAAGTTGTCTCCCCCTGCTGTTGAAGGTGAGGAAGCGCAGTAAGGCCTGCCGGGCTGGGCTCAGAGAGACTGATGAGCTGGTGTCAATCAATGATGTATCCTGTGGAACACTGTCTCATGCTGAGGCTATGAATCTGATTGATAGCGGCAGAGGAACCCTCCATCTGCGAATTAAAAGGTCAGAGTGAGATATCATTATCACAAGGAGTTGTTAGTCATGCTATAAAACTTATACTCAAGATAATCACCATGCTTTCCATTCAGGGCCCCAGCTGCATATCAGTCAGTGGTGCTTCTGGGTCGGGCCCCCTTCCCCCGTATTGATAAGGAGTACCAGGCAGCCTTGAGAGCCCTGTCGCCTCCACTTACCTCTAAACGGTCCGGTGTCAACAGAGCATCGCTCATGTCCCCCACCGGTGGCCTCGAGTGGCTTACATCCCCTCCAGACAGTGAAGCTTACTACGGTGAGACAGACAGTGACGCAGATGTGGCGGCACAAGAGAAGCAGCGTAGACAGAGACGACGAAGCCCCAGTAGCTCTCCTGCCAAGAGCCCTGGCCAAGCCTCACCCCAGGAGGAGGAGACTTCGGAAATGAGTGGCTATGAGAGCGCCCAGGACGTCTGTATGTACCCTCAAACACAGAGCTGGCCTGTATCTGATCTAGAGGGAATGGGGACTCAGCAACAGCCTGAAATGCCCGGGGTGGCCCGCAGAGAGGTAGTCTACCAATCCCCACAGGATGAATGGTCACACCAGGCTGAAAATTCCTCTGAGAATTCTGACCAAAGTCCATCA